ACTTTGCGACTAGCGTTTTCAAAGGGCGTACTTCAAGAAAAAGGAGTTTTCATTTTGTTCTTAGATCCAGTTAGAAGGATGCCCCAATGACCCTATAAAATTTCCCTAAATCCGGCACACTATTTCGAGCTTCCCTTTCCAACATTTTAAAGGGACGCGCATGGCAAAAACTGTGGAGATTGCATCGAATTTTCGACGTTCGCGACAAGCGACGCGCACTGCTACTGTATTTCGCATTCGCTTACGCTCCGAAAACTCGAAAACTCGCCCATCTTATCGCAGGGGTTTCAGAATATTTGAGGATGACAGCATACAAAATTCCTTTCTCATCCATGCATACAAATACAAAAAATACAAATCGCATACAAAAACCATGCTAATCCCTTTAAGCGAAAAATTTAGGCTTGGACTTTCAATCCCTCAAAAAATAAAATTTTCGCCATTCCCCCGGCTTCTGCTTCTCCTACTGCCCTCGCTCTCCAGAAGCCGAGCGGGGCTAAGGGGGTGAAGATGCGCACAGGAGCGGCCCGCAGGTCGGTCGCGGCTTGTCTTTGGTAACCGGAGAAGTGGTGGGGGGACGGTGGTAGAGGTGCAGAGCCACGGGCCCACAATCTGCGACATGTTCCTCAAACAGAGCAGCCCCAGGACCTCGGGTGGGTCCCGCAGAGAAGAACTAACTTCTTCTTGCCCACGCTCACCCGAGAGAGAAAGAGAGAGAGAGAGAGAGCGAGAGAGAGAGAGAGAATGAGAGAGAGCAAAGACAGAGACAGATGCTGCTTCTCACGTTCAAAAAAATTGAGTGACGATCGAAAACTGGAGAGGTGTAAGGAGTAGTCTTGTGGAATTTGAACTGGATGAAGCGGGGTTCAAGTGTTAGAGAATATAGTCTTGAAAGTACAAATTCTATGACTACCATTAATGCATATAAAAATCTGAAGTTCAGGTTTTCGCGCAAAAATATAACCTGTCATTAGGTATCGGCTAAAAGAATTTTTAAATCCAAAATTTTTGTATTTCCAATCATCAGAACCTGGCTTGCGATTAGTTCATTTATAGGAACTGATAAGCCAAAATTTCTTTTTCACAAAAGTCCCTACGTTCCATAGTTTTCTTATTACTCTTTCTCGCCTACCCATCATCATCCCTCGCCCCAAGATGCCAACCTACCTACAAAAAACTGTCACCTGGCGGGCACGCACACGGGAATGTGCGATCGGCTGGGTGAATAGCGAGAGCGAGACTCATGGCACAGTCATCAACCGCCTGATCGGGCAGACCATCAGCGAAGACGGTTCAGCCGAGCGGGGGTGGGGTACGGTAGAACAGCATGGCGTTTAAAACTGCGGACGAAGCTACAAAAAGAAAACTGCTTTTAGAAATGGCCGGATTGGCATGAAAAACTGAAGAATAATGCGCTAAAAGCACCTACGAAGCTTTCGGTACACGGGATTGTAACGTCCTTGGTGCGCCCCTGCGCTAGAATCCTTTAGACATAAGTAAGTTGCGTGCGTCTCGCAGTTGCTAGCTACCTGGTTACATATCATATGCCATAAACATACAATGCTTAGAAGTAATACTGTTTGTGCGTCAATTGGCGCGTCGCGTAGTTAGACTACTCTACTACGTGGTGGTCCTCTAAACGTCCGTAATTTGCGCGCGGATCGTAGATGCTTTTTAGGTCATTTTTCATATTTAATCTTTACTGTTGTGTGGTGCCAGAGAGCCATATAAAGTGGAGAGAGAGCGAGAGAGATAGAGCGAGAGAGAGAGAGCGATCCAAGACCCTAAAAAACCTCTTCCAGCTGCCAGCCCCCTACTGCTGCCTGGGTGGTGCCAGCTAATCCAGTGTGCTAATCCACACAGCACAACCCGCTAGTAGCCTTTCATAAGGAGGGGGTCCCCTAAAATCTATGTAAGGCGGGGCGAGAGAGAAAGAGGGAGAGCGAGAGCGAGAGAGAGAGAGATACAAAGTGCCCTCCAGCCACTTCATTAGCACCCAGTACCCAGAGCCCCTCAGCTGGGTTCAAGGGCCGCCGCCAATGTGGATTTACCCGGATTTAGGGCCAGAAATTAGCCGTTATGAGGACACGCGCGGAATAGCTGGCCTGGGCGGATAAGCAGCGGATTAGGTATGTAATTCTGTAGCATATTAAATATGCCCACTCAGTTATACCCAATTTTCCACCGTTTTTGGCCAAAATTTACTCATCCTGAGGACACGCGCGGAATAACTGGCTTTGGGGGATACTCACAAGGGAACCTCAAGTTGGCACGGTGGAGTTTCGAAAAACGCTCGCGGCTACCCCTAGGTTTTCGACTATGGCGATCTCAACGGTCGGGTCAGAATTTCCTAAATAGCCCTCTGGACAGAGATACAGCACTTCCGGAAATTCATCTTTTACATCCGAAAAATTAGCATAACCGATAGATTTATGAGGCTCTCCCATCACTATGGAATCACCGGTTGAGTGGCCGAGTGGTAAGCGACTTTGCTTGATAGGTTACTGACGAGGGTTCGAACCCGCTCGCAATTTTTTCTTTTGATTTTTGTTCAGAATTTTCTGCCCAACTCCAAGTTTTCATTTTTAATATAGTAAAACTTTTTGATTATTGTACCAGCCTTTTGATTATTGCTCCAAAGTAGTCTCAAAATTCGAAAAATTTTTATGGAACGGCCGGGTGTTCTCATCTCCGTTTTTTAGAAAAGGGTTTCTATGATTGACCGGATAAGATTTTTTTGCCTAATTGCTTTGCTAATACTTTTAGACATTTTAGGCAGAGGACGAATTTTCGAAAAAAATATCGAAAACTTGGAGTTGGGCAGAAAATTCTGAACAAAAATCAAAAGAAAAAATTGCGAGCGGGTTCGAACCCTCGTCAGTAACCTATCAAGCAAGTCGCTTACCACTCGGCCACTCAACCGGTGATTCCATAGTGATGGGAGAGCCTCATAAATCTATCGGTTATGCTAATTTTTCGGATGTAAAAGATGAATTTCCGGAAGTGCTGTATCTCTGTCCAGAGGGCTATTTAGGAAATTCTGACCCGACCGTTGAGATCGCCATAGTCGAAAACCTAGGGGTAGCCGCGAGCGTTTTTCGAAACTCCACCGTGCCAACTTGAGGTTCCCTTGTCAGCGGATTACGCGTCTAATTTTGACGAATATTAACATTTGTCTGCCCAGATATGCCCAGTTTCCTGGCTCCCCTTGCTGAGGTAGACGGCCTCCCGGTGGGCCCACCTCGCCACCGCACCTCCCCCCTCCTATAACAATAGCCCCTATAGAAAATGGGCAGAAAAATCGATCGCGGCGTGGTATGGGGCGCTTGAAAAGGCCTATTCAAGATGGGGGGAGTACGGGAATTGATTGGTGGTGGAGGAATTATAGGGCGTAACTGATTGGGAAATTCAAGAAAATTTGGGGTATCCTAAACCATACGTTTAATGTTGAGGATATTATCAATTAACGACCGTTAAAACCTCTTTAATAGCTCTAGATTTTGCTATACATAGTAAAGTTTTGGACCATAACTGTGTGTACTTAGTATTCCGACGTAGCTTACAGGCTTTTAAATAGCGTAATCAACTACGCTACAAAATTCAGAGTCGTTCGACCGAAACTCGGGAAAATTTTGCTTTTTAAGGATCTTTTTGGGTAGTTCTGAAGTATTCTAGCAGGAATAGTGTCGTTTTCATATTCTTAGTAATCCCTTGGTTTTAATAAAATTAAAACCGTTTTTGGGCCGTGTTAAATATCATGTCTTTCTCTTGGATGCACTTCGTCAAAAAATAAAATTTTAATATTTATCTGCCAGCCGGCCGAACCGCGCTGCGAATACGCACAATAATCATCCAAAACATATGCAAAAATACACACTGATCATAATTGCAACTCGAGTCGTTTCGCGGGTATATGATTTGGAGCAACTTTTCCGGTCAGGAGGGTCGAATTTTGCAAAAAATAGAAATACAAATCAAAATGGCCTACAGTCGGGGCTCACTTTTGCACACTGAATCACAACGAAAATTGAAAACAAATTGAAAAATAAAAAAATCACTATATTCTACAGTATCCTGGGTTTTTGGCTGGGCGCGTTTTGGGGGTGTTTTTGTATAAAATGGAACCGGTGGCCTAGAAGGTATGCGAAAGTAAGAAAAATACTGAAAAAATAGGGGTAATACTGTACACTTTAAAGCTGTCCGACCAAAGCAAGGAGGGTTTAAAGGGATTGGCAAGGCAGAGAGTTATCGATTTTTGGCGATGGATTTTGAATGGATTTTGCCGCGATCTAGTGGGTAGATCCGTTTTCACTGCGTAATCGATTACGCAAGGAAACGTTGCGTTTCAGAAAATTCATAAAAAACCACGGCCAGTAATCGATAGCCATTGCGTTCCCAGTCCCTTTAAAAAGTTAAAATTGGCTCCCAAAGGCGCATTCGTTGATAGAAATCTCCGAATTAGAAAAAGTATAAAAAATTAAAATCGAAAAATTAGGCGTAACACATTGATTATGGCAAACCGGAGGATGTGTGAGGGGCGAAAGTGGGACTCAAAAAATCAATAAATTAATACTCAAAAATCGAGTAATTTTGTATATCAATTTTAGTGTGGAAGTGGGTGGCACGGGAGCACTGAGGAGGTCGATTTTTACAGTATAAAAATAGAAAATAGGTGAATAGAAAATACAATTTTTGGTGGGGAATGCGTGGGGGAGGCGGTTGAATTTAGGCCAGGAAAATCGATACCTTGACGATAATAATTTTTCCAGACCAAAAATTTAACCGCTAGAACTACCCGCTTTCGGATCAGTGGTGTCGGGGTTTAAAATATGGAATTTTTGGCGGGTTACGGTAGTTTTAGGTCGCGAAATAGCATGGAAAACTTCCTTTTTGGGTTTTTCAACAGTTGGGGTTCTCAAAATTGAGATCTTCTTTTAAAAAAAAGGGTTTTTGTATTTGCTACCGTAATCCACCCAAAAAACCCAATTTTCACTAATTTAAGATGATGCCAAATGGTGGATTGGCTGGGATAATGCCTGGGGAAGTTGCTGGTTCATGGCCCCGGTCAACGCGCCGGTCATGTCGGTCAAACCGGAAGGCCACAGGTTCTGGGCTGCGGAGTAGAAGGCAGACGGGTCCTTGGCCGCGTCATAGTACGCTGCGGCGCGGTACGCTGCTGCTTCCGGGCTTTCGCTGGGTGGGACGCCGTTGGCTTCTGGTGGTTGCGGGCCCTGAAAGTGAAATTAAGTTAAATCTTTATTTTACGTTATTTTTAATGTTCGAGACGTTTTAAGGGCCCCGTAAAGTGCCAAAATCAACCCGACGGGCGCGCTAGGTATCGACAACCAGATGAAGTGCTTAATCGACAGCTTAGAGAGGATCGAAGAACATTTACAGGGATTTTTGCGTATTCTGTCTAGATCTAGCTGGAGGTAACGTCGATTTTTGGGTTTCCGTGTCCATTAATGCGTCTACCAGTCTCATCAAGTTTTTAGAACTTTTTCGCTGCCCCCGTTGACCCCGAGATTCGACACCCGCTGTGAACTAGTAGCCAGCCCCCCAGCAATTTTCCGGTTAATCGCCTAATCACGGGTCGAGCAAATTAGAGGGCCACTACCTTTGCCCAGCTATGGTCGATCAGATTGGGCCCTAATTAACGAGGTCCAATACCTAGGGGAGAGCGAGATATATTGCGCAACACCTGGGGGAGCTCGGGCTTTTTGTTGATTGGTCTGGGGTCCCAAAAAAGTTTTAGTCCAGAAAGGGTACTGTAGGAAGGTGAGGTTCAAGTTAAAAACAATCCTATTGCTAGACGTAAGCGTCTAGTTCAACCTCGGCCTGGCAAAGGCTTCGGCTTCGGCTTCGGCTTAGGCTTAGGCTTAGCGTAGGCTTGGCTTAAGCTTTTTGAAGTTATCTACCCACCTCATTCTCCAGTTTCACATTCGGCAGCGTCGGCATAAAGCTCTGGGCGAACGGGTTGGCGTACTGCGTCGGCGACGTCGAGCCACCCAAATACGAGGGGAAGTTGCTCATCATCTCGAAGCCGTTTGGCCGCGAGTACAGTGTCGAGTAGTCGTACGAGTAGGCGGAGGCCTGCGAGGTGGCTTGCGGCCAGCTGGCTTGCATCTGAAAGGGCAGAAACTAAAATCGGGACTTCTAACGGTAAAAGAATTACAACATCTTCAATTTATGACAGATCCAATCGATCCCAATGAGCTACAAACTACACATACCTGAGGGTACGTCTGCTTCATCTGGTCCAAAAAGCCTCCTCCAAGCGGAAGTTGACCGGGCTTCTTCTGGACGGCCTTCGTCTTGCGACGGGGACGGTATTTGTAGTCGGGGTGTTCCTGAAAAATCGAGGGTTAGCTACTCAGTTTGGCTCAAGTTCGGGACGTTCAACTCTCTTTTGTTTCACGTTTAAGACTACTGTGGCTCTTAATCACCCCAAAAAGTATGACTTTCAAGGTGAAATTTCAGCCGCTTTTTCTACCTGGTTTGGTTTTCTGACCCAGTTACCGTACCTTCATGTGGATCGCTCTCAACCGCTTTGCCTCATCGATGAACGGCCGCTTGTCGACGTCGCTGAGCATCTTCCACTCGGTGCCCAATCGCTTTGAGATTTCCGAGTTGTGCATCTGAAAATGAGGATCGTTAGTTTTTGTGGTTTCTCTATCACGATTTCCTCATTTGCAAAAATTTCCCCATCTACCGTATCCTCATCCCTCTGATTTCCCGCGATATAGCGATCCGTGTACACGCGATACCCCCAGATTCCTTTCCACCATCACATTCCACGTTTTCACCCGGTTCCACCTCGACTACTGCTTCTTCTCACCCATACCACCAATCGATAAGCTCGAGATGAGTACAGAAAAGAGAGAGAGAGAGAGAGAGAGAGAGAGAGAGAGAGAGAGCCACACCGAGCGAGAAAAGGGCTATCATGACGCCCGAAGGGAAGAAGAGCCCCCGGCCCGAATCAATGCCCACCACAACCAGATTCCTCTACGGCCGTCTTGTCTTTCGTGGCTCTCTCTCTCTCACCCCACACCCCGACTACCGTACCCCCAAGGGGGCAAGATAAGCGGCCGTCTCCTTCCCCCTCCCATACACAAAAAGAGCCGGAAGTCGGTGGTCGGGTGGGCCGCTCCGGGACCCTGGTCCGGCCACAACCACCGCCACCATCAGCACCGCGTGCCCTGGGGAGAAGCCGTCAACAGGTGTGCCGTGTAGTTGGGGGTGGCTTGGGTAATTAGGGGTGGTCCGGAAGGGGCAAACGATTTTGGGGGGCTAGGATTTGAGGAAAAAAGGTAGTAAAGGCCGAAGAAGTCGTGAAGTATGTTAAAAAATCTACCTAGGTCTAGCTCTACAGTCTCTCTCTCCCTCTATCTGTCTTACACGCCTTTATTTTTCTCACAAGGTATTGAAAAGTACGAAAAACAAGGAAAACTAGGAAATGTCGATTTTCTCAGCATCCTCCCCTATTTGTAGCTCTCTCTCAATCTCCCGCTCTCACTATCTCTCTATCTCTCTTTCTCTCTCTCTCTCTCTCTCTCTTCCTTTCTTTCTCACGCCCTCTTCCCCATAAATACGCCTCAGAAAAACCCACAAAATTCACCCCCAACAACCCTTTCACGATCCCATTACCTACGCGCGACTCCTCCACTCCTCCTGGGGGACGACCGGAAAAGTTGCATTTTAGGACTTTTAGGGTGGGTGGTGAAGGCAAAAGGAGGGCGAGAGAGTGGAGAGGGAGGGAGAGTGCCAGAGAAATAGAGCGAAACAGTGGCCATGGGGGGTAATTGTGGCTTCGTGCACCTTGAGAGCCTTCCGACCAGAGCGGGGGGGGTAGAAGTTCTCCGATTACAACCAAGAATTACCGGTCAGCCGCTACGGAAGGGCGACCCTCAGGTGGACAGCAAGGACTTAGAATGGAAGAAATATGCCCTTGGGGGTATTTGGGAGGGGTATTTTTGGTGCATTAATGGGAGAGATAAGTATCTATGTATTTTTGGTACGAGACTCGTGATTTTGAGCCCCAAAAATTGTATAAAAATTCGACGACGATGAGAAAAATTTTACTTTGGAATGTGGCATTAGAATTGGAATATTTCCTACGTTATACAAGATTAGTAAGTTTTTTCGATGCGATTCAAATTAGATTAACGACCTTAGAAAAACACAAGCTGTTCAGGTGATCCAATTACGGTAGAAATGCGCTTTTAGAATTTTAGGAAATTAAGGAAGTCCTCAAGCGATTTCTTCATTAATTTAGCTCTCAAAGAGCGCGCAGAAAATGGTTTATTAAAAATTCCGTTAGGCTCCAAACTACAGCTAACCTACGAAATACACCTTTTCCTATATAAATCTCGCGGCCGTCCCATTCCATCACCCCCTGACAATGGCCAAATTCGGCCATCGCCAGGCGAGAGAGGGTAGGGGATATATTCGTTCCTCGAAATGCCCCGCCGCCTGCGGCCATATATAATATCAAATATTTGGCCAAGTATCCACAGCCTCCTAGGGGTGGGAAATGGTGGGGGGTGATCGCTCTGTATCCCTCGTGCGCGCTCTCTCTCTCTCTCGCTCGCTCTCTCGCCCCAAACATACACACACAGTTACGCAAATAATTTCACCACTGTACCAGCCGACAGTGGTGGTGGATGGGCGGCGTGCGTCCCCGGAAAGTGGGATCAAGTGGTAGAGGGTACCGGCTGGTGTCAGTTTTTAAGGTGTAAAAGTTGCGTTATGGAATTTTAGGAATGAGTACGGTTCAAAGGGTCAATAAACGCTGGCAATAAAACCTCCAGGTTTCCGCAACACTGACAAATTACGCACAAATTTTGCCAGAACAGGCAGCAAAATCAATTTTTATAACGTGCCCCAAAACATACCGTACCTTCGGGTTATCCTGGGCCATCTTCCTGCGCTGCCCGCGGCTCCACACCATGAAGGCGTTCATCGGGCGCTTCACGCGGTCCTGGTCCTTCTTGCCGTCTTTGCCACCTAGGCCTGAGATAGAATTCAAAGCTGGTTCTGAGGGCTTGAGCTACTCGGGTTTTCCTGGGTTTTTTGGGTTAAGCTTGGCTGGATTAGAAAGCTTAAGCTGGTTCCGGCGAAAGAAATCGGGTCATGACTTGAGAGACTTCAGAAATTTGGCGTGATTTCACGATTCTGTGTTTTAAGATGGTTTGGCTCCACCTACTTGACTGACTTCGCTTTACCTCTATGATTTATTACAGCTCTAATCGAGTTCTACCGAGGTATTTGAAGTCGAACTGAGCTTCAGGAGCTGCATTTCAAAGCTAGGCTACGGCTAAAATATTCTTGGCCTCACTGCTCTAGCTTTTAAGTTTTTGAAGTTAGCTCACTTGGTTTCACTAGCTGAAGGTTCTAGGCTAGAAGCCAGCTGTTTCTTCAGAAGCCTATTGAAATCCCGGCTTTCTATGGATCCACCCCATCCCCCTTTTCCACCCTTTTCGCTTCTATTGAATAGTGTATCTGGTGTCAAGAGTTCTATTGTCGACCTCCCCCTTGAATAGGGGCATTCAAATTTGGGCCCCACGTGGGTGCTGGAATCGAATTGATTTATTTTTCGGCCCCTCTAGATACCGGCTGTCAAATTCCTCAGGAATACCCCGAGAAAATTGGCTATCTGGTTGGGAGGAAGGTGATCGAGGGCCCGGGTAATCGAAAATCGAAGATACCGTGGTAATACCGTGGTAATACTGGGAAACCGAGGGAACGTGGGAGCTACAAAAATTCCGATGCAGAGTGGGGCTCAGTTTAGCATAAATATTGACTTATTGCTACTTGATAGTAAGTGCAAAATTTCCGAGGGTAAACTGACATCTTTTAAGTCTACGAAGCTTTCCGATACCAACATAGCTCAACGTAATTTGGCGTAAAACGGAAGCTACAGTAGGAAATTGTTCTCGAAGCACAATTTCAAGCCTGACAAGCCAAGTAAGCTCGTAGAAGCTTCAAAATCTTCAAAATGGCTTCGGTAGCGTTGTAGCTTTATTTTAAAGTATCAAAATGTTAGCGATAAAATTCGTGGGTAAGCTACCACAAAATTAGCATAGAAGCCCATCTCTAGCTGCGCCTGGATTTTTCAAGTTCGTTAAGTCGGTATGAATCTAAAACTTTACGGGGAAATAGGAAAACACTGGGGGCCAAATCGGGGGGGCAAGCCGGAGAAGTACGGTCAAAGCCAATCTTGTCAAGCCTTTCAATTCAATTCAGCTACTTTAAAGGTATGTAGAAGAAAACAAAACAAAATCCAATGTCTCACCTGAATCCGGGGAATCCGGGCCGCCCATCAGGTCCTCGGTGCTCGGAATATGGGTAGCTTGAGGTGGCGGCATCACGAGATGCTGATAAAAATTCTGATAGCCCTCGAGCTTGATTTGCTCGGCGTCCATCATCATCTTGGCTTAGCTTAGGTAGCTTCGCAAGCTTCGTTCCCTCGTATCTGTCGTAGTCCTCGGGTAGTCTTGGTAGAGGAGGAGGAGGAGGAGAAGGGGGGAGGGTGTGGCTGTGGGCCCGGGTGCACAATAGCCCAGCCCCTGGCTGCAAGGGGGCGGGGCCGGAGTGGCTCTCTCCACCCGCCAATCCCGGGCTACGGTAACGCCCCTTTCCATCGGTACGTCAAGAGGAGCGTTTCGGAAATCTAAATTATGATTATAAAGTGTTAAAACAAGTTCTACATTTAGAAAACAAAATCAGGAATGTCCCGGGTGGTATTTGTGCCCTCATTCAGTTGGGCGATACAATGGATGCATAGGGAGCGCCTTTTAGCGTGCAGAGCCCCCGTCTCCTCCTCTCCTCCTCCCCCCACACAACGGCTATTCAACACTGGGGCATTGGCTGCTGCTGGCTGGCTGGCCCTCGCTGACATGCGCGTCTTTTCACATCTTTTCAGATGGCACATTCTATGGAATACGCTAACTAACCCCCCACTACCCGGATACAATGATCGGTATTGTTGGGCGGGAGTATTGAGTGGAATCTGGCAGCAGGGCAGGGTATTGATTGGAATCGGGATTTGAGCGGAATTCTCGGGATAATCGGGTAAAGAACCATAGCAAAAATTCATAGAGGAGGAAGAGAGAGAGAGAGAGAGAGAGAGAGATAGAGAGAGAAAGAGCGAGAGAGCGAGCAAAGCTGTCGAAATTCTCGCAAAACGGTATGCATGAAAATTCCGATAGTGTTAACTAGTCCAAAAATCGGAACTGAGCTCCGATAAAAGCTAGAGAAAGAGAGGGACAGAGCAAGAGCCAGAGCTAGAGAGAGAAAGAGGAAAAGAGAGCGATAGAAATAGTGAGAGGAGAGAGAAAGTGAGAAACATGATCATGATCCTCGTGTTATCCGCGGAATTTTCTTTCCTAAAGGGAGCGTGACGGCAAGCCTAGCTTTTTTGCAAACTCAAACCTTAATTTAGTGGCTGCATTTTCTTTGCTATTTATACTAAATTTAATTGGCTAGCTAGGTTTTGCTAATTAGCTTACCAGAATTAGACATTTTTGGCAAGTTGAAAACACACGTCATGTTGGCTAGTATAAGAAAAAAAATAGAGACATGGGTAGAATCACCTCCAAAAATTAGCAAAAGCAAGTATGCCAATTTTTTTCTGGTTTTCGTCGGAAGGTATCTTGCTTTCATTAATGCATCATCTTCCCGGCTGGCCCTACCGCAAGTGTGTTTCTATCCGGTGTAATTCCCTCGATAACCTCCCAGATAAGCCCTAGTAGATCTTATCCCGAAGCTAGTGAGTGCCTCCACCCCCACTGATCGGCAGATTCAAATTAGACCCCTGGTGCGAGAATCAAGCCGTGGGGGGTGTTGGGCAGGTGGCGTATCCGTCGGCATTCCCTACCAAGTGCTACCCGAGGTGTCGACCAAGGGAAATAGCTGCGGGGCACTAGCTTAGAGGCATATTGCCATACATGCAAATTAGATAAGAGAGGAGCCGACTTGTCATGGGTATCTCGAGGATGTCAACAAGAGGGCGGCTGGCCTAGATCGGGAGGGGTGATTGGGTGATTGAGGGCAGGAGAGGGGTCTGGAATTAAAAATTCCGGGTTGGAATTTGTTGTCAATCGTGGTATTCGTCTCTTGATGCTAGGATTTATAGAAATAGAGTTTTTTGGCCAGAATTTAACGTCCTGAAAATTAAAGCCCATAATCCTGAAAAATCCAACGGAGTTGTTTTTTTGTATTATTAGGCTAGGGCAAGCTAGCACAAATCATTTAAGATATGATTGAGGGCAGCTGCCGACATAGCAGGTCTGATTTGGGAATTCTATGGAAAAACTGATGGCACAGTCGCCCATCATTTTGGATTTGGATTCTCGCAAAACAGGTCTAACCGCGCCTGAAACAGCGCAACCTAGCAGTGATTCTTTGGGAATCCGTGAATTAGGCAACTAGCAAAGATCATATAAGAATTTCTGAAAAGGAAAAGAGTGCCGGTTTCTAGGCCTTAAAACTAGCATAGACCGTTTGGCTGCATACGTTGGAAAGCACGCTATATAAAAAAAACTGTTATTACGTTTTTTTTTGGTTATAGCGAGACAACAAGCATTAATAGATGAGAGACCCACAAATCACAGGCTTATAAAAGCATGGAAACCATGAAAAACCCTAGAAAATTTTATAGAAAAATGCCGATAATCCAATCCTCAAAACCGATATCCTCAAAATTTAGGCAAATTCGACGAATTCAGAGATCAGAAATTTATGGCAAAACCGCAAATCGATACCAAAATGGCTGATGTCGGTCATCGTGCCGCGAAAAATGAGTACTTAATTTTAGAAAATTACTACTCTGGCCGATAAAAAATAATCCAAAAATTCGCAAAAATCGATCACTTTCAGAATTTCGGGAATTTCAGCCAAAATGGCATATGGCTGATGTTGGTGGTGGTGTCCTCCATGGCGATGGTGGTGGTATAGAAACTGACTGACTGGGGAGGGGCTACATGGCTGTGGCGGGGGTTGTGAAGGGGGTCTGATTGTTGTAATTGTTCGGTTGCATGGGCCATTCACGGCATTCACCATCTCCATCCCTCCTCACCCTCCTCTCCTCTTCTCCCTTCTCCTCTTCTCCACCACCACCACCACGCATTCCATTCAATCTCCATTCCAATACTCAACACTACCACCGCCACCACCAGGCTATGGATATTTTAGTATCGGAATTTAAGGCATTTCGGAGGGTTTTAAAGGCGATATGACCTCGATTTTTTGCTAATTTTTTCCCGTAGTTTGATGGCATGAAGTTTAACCTAAATGTTAGGGCAGTGTGACAAAATGCATTCAAATTTTTATGAGAGTTTTCGCCTCAGGTTTGTTTTAAAGTAATCGTGACAGCAATTTATGCCCACAGATTCAAGCCGTTCAGCTGATTTTGCCTCTCACTCACTCTACTCTCTCTCTCACTCTTTCTTTCTATCTCTAGCTCTCTCTCTCTCTCTGTGTTTCTCTACCTCTTTTCTTTCTCCTCTCTCTCTCTCTCTCTCTCTCTCTCTCTTTCTCTCTCTCTCTCATTATTGATCTATCGGGGAATTCACCACTCTCAATTCTGAAGTGAGTCCACCCGGATGAAATTCGATCCGATGGGGTCGGCAAGGACCCGGTTATTGATCGCTCGGAAAGGTGGTCAGCGCTGAACTTGTCGAAGATGTTTGGGGCTGTATTCTTGGGTTGTTTCGCTGAACTTACTAATTAGCTTTCCTCGCTAAATCAAGCTTGACTAGCTGTCCAAACTAACTGTCACGCCCTTTACCCCCACCCACTCATAAACCCACACGCACATCAAAATCCACCATATCCCCCCTTGCCCGTAACCTTGAAATGAGTATAGGGGATCTCGCTGGGTGGGTGGTAGCACCCAGAGACAGAGACACAGAGATGGAAAAACGGTAACTAGCCTGAAATTGTGGGTAAGTGCGCGAAGGTGAGGGGGGGCATCGCCGGGCGAATAATGTGTTTAGGCCGAATGGATCGCCCCGGCTTTTTATTTCTTTTCCTCCGGCTTTTTCGTCTCCAAGTCGAGACGGGGCGAGAGGGCCTGGGGGGTTAATGGGGCTCCCGGAAATCGAGGTCGTCCTCAACGGGGGAGGGCGGGGATTTCGAGCTTTTTTTGGAGAGGGAAAGAAACAAAAAGTTTCTGCCTTTTTTGAACGCTTGGAAAGCCATTAAAACTGTTAGTAGCTGGAAAACCGGGTGTGATGAGGCGTGAATGGAATCGGGAGTTGTGGTGTCCGATTTAACACAAAGTTTTCGGGATTTCGACATCCGATTACGATACTAAAATATGCTTTAATGAGACCAGGAAGGCAAATTTTTTTGCGTACGGATTCTGCAAAATCTCCTGAGTTTTAGAAAACAGCAAAAATAAATAATTCCATTTTCGTGATTTTCGTGATTAGCTTTCCTACCGAATTTTCCAATGGATTTTTGCCCCGAACGGACGGACCTTTAAAAAATTGGTTTACCTCAGCGCCGTGTAATAATATTGTGCTGACGTCGTGTCAATCTCCCTCGACTCAGGTCAGGCTGCGCAAAAAATGCCGATAGACAGGTTAATTTGCATGCCTTCCGATCACCAGAATCGAGGTCAACTATCTCTCTTACTCTCTCTCACCCTCTCTCTCTACATCATCACTCTCTTGTTTTCCGCTCAGACAACAACGCTAGATGCCAATGGACGTTCTCCCCCATGCCGTCGGGGTCGTCAGGTCGGGATGGGTGACTGGTTCTGTAAGACATCCCCAGGACTCCTCTGCTTTTCTTCCTCTTTTTCTGCCCCTTTTTCTCGTGCTCCTCGGGACCGCGATTGGCACCTTTCTACTTCCCACTACTCCTCACCCTTCGACCCGGCCGGAGTGACACATTCCCGGGTGTCAGCAGGGAAATGGAGGAGGAGAAGGGGCGTATGCAAATTTGGGGGATCGAGAGAAATTTAGGGGGTTGATTGACCTCGGTTCAATGGAAAAAATAGGGATAAGAACGTATTTAAAATTACATAATAAGCTTAAAAACAGATAATTTAATGTCAGCCGTGGCGATCTCTGTCTCTCTGCTCTCTCTCGCTCTCTCGCTCTCTCGATCTTGCTCTCTCTCTCTCTCTCTCTTCTCTCTCTCTCTCTCGTCGTAAAGCTGTATAAATCCTGCTCGACTCTACCTGGCTCTCGATCAGCGATCTACCGTAGTTTGAACGTGCGTGTAATCCGACGAAAACAAGCCAACCTCGAAAAAAGATTAATCCCCTCCAGCTCCAAAATATGCGAGATCGACCTGGCTAATTGGCAAGACGGGGAGCAGAGCCAAATTCAGATTGGCACGAAACTTGTTATGATTTTTAGGTGCTGTTAGGCGCACTAATAGACACTAACAGCCGTAAGACCCCGACCACGAAGCTACG